TAGACATTAGCCTTACTCAATCTTGTTTTTTCTTGAAATATTACTATAGATAAACAATACTGATCAATGAACAGAATAATTCATCCCTGTCAAGGTAAAGTACGGGTCATCATTTTATCACCAGTACGTTCTTTTTTCCTACTAAACATTAGCCTTACTCAATCTTGTTTTTTCTTGAAATATTACTATAGATAAACAATACTGATCAATGAACAGAATACTTCATCACAGTCAAAGTGAAGTACGGGTCATCATTTTATCACAAATACGTTCTTTTTTCCTATTAAACATTAGCCTTGCTGAATCTTGTTTTTTCTTGAAGTGTTACTATAGATAAACAATACTGATCAATGAACAGAATGATTCATCACAGCCAAGGTAAAGTACTCGTCATCATTTCATCACAAGTGCGCACTTTTTTCCTACTAGACATTAGCCTTACTCAATCTTGTTTTTTCTTGAAATATTACTATAGATAAACAATACTGATCAATGAACAGAATAATTCATCCCTGTCAAGGTAAAGTACGGGTCATCATTTTATCACAAATACGTTCGTTTTTCCTATTAAACAGTAGCCTTGCTGAATCTTGTTTTTTCTTGAAGTGTTACTATAGATAAACAATACTGATCAATGAAGAGAATAATTCATCACAGTGAAGGTGATGTACGGGTGATCATTTTATCACAAGTGCATTTTTTTTTCCTAGTAAACATTAGCCTTACTTAGTGTTGTTGTTTTCTGCAAATATTCCTATAGATAAACAATAGTGATCAATGAACGGATTAATTCATCATAGTCAAGGTGAAATACGGGTCATCATTTTATCACAGGTACGCTCTTTTTTCCTACTAAACATTAGCCTTACTTAATGTTGTTTTTTTCTTCACATATTACTACAGATGAACAATACTGATCAATGAACAGAATAACTCGGCACAGTGAAAGTAAAGTACGGGTCATCGTTTTATCACAAGGACCTTCTTTTTCCTGCTAAACGCAAGTAACGTTTGTCGCTTCGAGGACTTGGCCCTCGACTGTGTACGAGAGAAGTATTCTTTTCATATGCTAATAGTAAGAGGGCCGATGTTGATTCGATCTGAGTTGTAACTTAAATTTTTCATCTTGAATTGCGTGTGTGCAAAATACCGTTTTATCGTTTTGTAATATAATTTTACTAGAAATCGCATTGTTCAACTACAGTTGATAATGAAAGTTACATCATTTATATCTAAGTCAACTTTCATTAATATAATCTTCTAGTGCATATTGAATAGTATGTATTTTAAAGGGATTATATGACGAACGGTGTCGACACAGATTGGTAATGTGCACACATGTCATAGATATAAGAATCTTTAAATTGAAAGGTTCATTTTATTAACAGCACACAAGTATAACTGATTTATTTGCAATAATGAATATAGAAATGAGTAAAAAAAGAAACATTTAAAAAACATCTTTCTATAAAAATGCACTTGAAAAAAATGAAAAAAACGAAATGCATGATAATAGAGCAACACAAATTACAACACGAAAAGAATATACATTGAGAAATGTTTAAAAAGAAAATAAATAAATGATGAAAAGTGAACAATAAAGATGCGAAAACTCTAACATGAACTATTTATGAAAAGATTAGGCTATTACAATTATAAACAAAACTTTGTACATTGAAGAAAAAAAAGTTAAAACCACTCTGAGAAACGAGTTTGTGTCTCCAAATATAATTTATCTAATCTTTCTATTTCGGCGAGTTGAGATTTACTTGGTTTCCTTAATAAAACCTTGTAATCAAAATGTCCCAGGATGATCAAATCAGTCAAACGTTTCACACGTGATAAAGGTACGTAAATTGCGGCGATATCGTCAGTTTCATTTGGTAGTTTTAAATCAATTACAACATTATTTAAAGTTTGGCCTTTACTTTTATATGCCGTAATAGAATAAGCAGGTACGAGTGGTAATGGGCGTCGCTTTATTGATAAAATTGCTTTCTGATTTGATTTTGATCTCTTCTTTTTTTGTAATACATCAGCAATATCAATCCGGAATGTTTCTTCCATTACAGGTATTGGAATGATATATTGAAAAATAAAAATAAAAAATATGATAACAACAGTGGAATGTTATTTTATGCACCACGTAATATTTCGGCATCTATTCTCAGACGCCATCATCAGACGTAACCGGACGAAAGAACAATTCCATTTTTTATATTAGATTCACTAGAATGTGATATAGTTAAGGAGAGATAAGGTTTTAGGAGTTTGAGAAGGTCATATTATTTTATTATTATTGTAGAAAAAATATCTGAGAGAAAAGTATGTTTTGCAAAGAATGTTCGTGTGATTGCATTGCGTTTATTGTATTGAGATTGTATAATAGGGTGTAGAAAGATGATACAAGAATCTGACGAGTTGCTGGGTGGTTGTGTTTCGTTGAGGTCTGGTGGTTGTGAAGGTGAAGGTTGGTTGTGCATATAGGTTGAA